AGGCCTGAAATCTTAAAGCAGGAAATCAAAGTCTTCTTTGTGAAATACAATGATCCCATCTATGTTAAACTAGAAAAGTTGGACATCATGATTCGCCTCGCGTCCCAAGCCAACATTGCTCAGGTCAGACTTCAAACAATCTCAAATTGATGATGCCTTAGATCTTAAGGTCTGCCCTTGAGAAGCTAGACTATAAGATTGCTATTTGAGAATTCTTCATGGTTTTCCACTTCCTGGATGTTTGACAGGTTCTGGCAGAACTGAAAGAATATGCTACTGAGGTGGATGTTGACTTTGTTCGCAAAGCTGTGAGGGCCATTGGGCGATGCGCCATCAAGGTGGAAGTAAGTGTCCACAGGGAGTTGTGTCATACATTATGGGATTCTGGGTGTTCTCTGGCTCCTTTTTAAAAAAATATATATTTTTTACATTTATCAAGGTAATAACAGTAAAAACTAGGTGTTCCTGGTCTCCTTTTTCTTATCAGCTCTTCTAGAGAGAATATTTTTTTTTACTTCAACTTCTATTTTGATTATTCTTTCAAAACTTGTATTATTGGGCCAGCCAAATAGCTCAGCAGATTAAAATGCCTGCACGCAGGCACAGGGACCAGAGGTTCAATCCCCAGGCCTGCTGTTCTGGCCCCACCCCTGGGGCGCACTGAGACAGCAATCAAGACTGGGCGTGGTGACGCATGCCTGTAATCCCAGCTCCTGGGAGGCTGTAAACAGGTGGATCACTATAAGTCTGATCTGGTAGTGAGACCCTGAATATCCTGTGGACCCTTCCCTTTAAAAAAAAAAAAAAAAAAAAAAAATTGTATTATTTCTAAAAGGTATGCTATTATTTATTGATTTTTCAGTCACAGACTTCATCTTTTAACTTTCTCCTACAAAATAAGAATCTAAGTTCAAACATTTCACCATTGCTACTTCTTACTTCTATTTTCTAGAATAGTTATGTCTTGAGATTTTTGTTCCTGTGTCAGTTATCCTGATAAAGATAAATGCCCTTATTTCTTCTTTTTCCAAATATAGGTATATGAAGTTTTATGTTATGTAAGTAGGTTGGATCAGTACAACACAAATGATTGTATCTTTTTATTCAGAGTTTGTCTTTTCTGAAGTTTTTTTGTTGTTTTTTGGTTTTTCTTTTTAATGTATTTAGTATAGGGGCTACAGGGGCTCACTACATAGATCAGACAAGTCTCCCAAGCACTGGGATTACAGGCGTGCACCACCACGCCCAGTCTCAGTCGCCCTCTCAGCTCACCCTGGGGGTAGGGCCAGCATGGCACACTGGGGGTCAAACCCCTGCCGCTGCACTCTGCCTAAGCAGGTACTTTAGTCCACTGAGCTATCTGGCCAGCCCGCTGGAGTTTCTTAAATTGCCCCCTTTTCCCCCTTGCATATGTGTCTCACTAACCCTTACCTTCTTCCAGCTTCTCAAGCATAGTGTCAGATCCATACCTATTGTCCTAGCCCCTTATCTCTTCCAGTCTTATCTTCTTGCTTATTCTAATCTGACTGATTATTGATGCTTTGTGTGTGTGTGTGTGTGTGTGTGTGTTTGCAATAATTTCTTTGAATCTCTGAGGAAATGAATTACAGTTTTTTTCTTTTGGTTCTACATTTTGAATATCATTTTTTAGGTTATTTATACTGTGGATTATATATCTCTATACATAACTTTTAAAATTGAAATTATGGTATGTATGATGTTAAGCCTATTTAAGATTGAAGTTGTATAAAAATGATTAAGACTTTCCTGTGCAGGGCTGTGGTCTAGCAGGTTTCTGCTATAGGCCAGAAAGTACTTGGAAGGTCTCTTAAAGAGTCCTCTAGGCTTGGAAGATGGCTCAAGAGTCTAACCACCTGCCTGGCAAAGCACAAGGTGCCTAATTAAATCCTGAGTACCTCATGCCATGCTGGCCCCAGAACTAGGCATGGTGGTGCATGCCTATAATCCCAGTACTAGGGAAGCTGAGACAGGAGGGTCACTAGGAGTCCGAACTGTGTAATGAGACCTGTGTCAAAAAAAGAAGGAAGGATCAGGTTTATATCAAGCCCTATGTTAAGCACTTACCTGTATTATAGCAATCCATGTCCTACATACTTTATAATTTATCATAGTATAGTAGTTACCTGTTTTACTATTACAATAACTTAGCACAAGAATTCCTGGCTGAAAGTAAATGATATAGAAGAAATAAATAGAATCTGAAAATGAACATTAAAAGATTGCAGAATCATTTCTTTCTTTTTTTTTTTTTTTTGGTGGAACAGGGGCTTGAACTCAGGCCCTTGCACTTGCCAGGGAAGTGCTTATTCCACTGAGCCATCTCCCTGGCCCCAGAATCATTTCATGGACAAGCCAGATCATCATATGAGCTCATACAAATGACATAAAAATGAAATTTTGAAATTATTAATATACTTAAAAGATGTTATTAAAGAAATTTTTTTTTCTTATTTATCTCCTTGCATTCCTTCCCCTTCAACCCGTTGTGACACTGTTGTATTTTAATGCAAGTCCCAGATGATGTCTCATTGGAGTAGTCTAGTGGGTATACCTGACAGTCTTTCTTTTATAGTTGGCCACAGTGCCATTGCCACAGTAATAACAAATAGTAATTCTTAATCTTACTGAATATCCAGTTTATGTTTAATTTCCCCTAGCGGGTATCATATTGTCTTTACATTTGGCTTGGGTAATATTCATGTTAGGAGTTTGGGGCAAGAAGCAAAGCATGGTGGTGCATGCCTGTAATCTCAGTACTTGGGAAGCTGAGGCAGGCAGATGCTGTGAGTTCAAAACCAGCCTGGATTACTTGGTGAGATATGTGTCAAAACCAAAAAATATATAAAGTTTTGGACAAGAATACTTTATGCATATGGGCCAGAGAGATGGTTCAGTAGAATATGCACTTCCCTGGCAAGCACAAGGGCCTGAGTTCAATCCCCGGTTTGGCAAAAAAAAAAAAAAAAGAGAGAATACTTTATGCATAATGTTGTATACTTCCTGTTATATCTGATCAGGAAACATAATGTTGTGTGTAGTAATAGGATATTATAATATATGACAGATTTTTTATTTTTAGAATCTATTTTGGAATTCTTATCTTAAAAAGCTATCATTTATTGTTTCACTATATTCGGGTTTTTTTTTTTTTTTTCCAGAACCAGGGATTGAACTCAGGCCCTTGCGTTTGCCAGGGAAGCGCTTCCTCTACTGAGCCATCTCCCTGGCTGTTCGGGGTTTTTTGATCCCTTTATAGTCTCCCATATTTTCTTTATTAGTAAAAGATTAGTGGATTAAGCTCCATTTTACTGAGGAAGAAAATATAGTTTGTCTAAGGCCATAGGCTTTAAATTACATACCCCCAAAGATTATTACCTAGTAATTCTTAGAGTTGTGTGGGTCACAAATGTCTTTGAAAATAAGAACTGTGGAGCTTGCTCCTGGACGATATGCTTGTGTGCCCATAAAATTTGGCAATTCATTTTGAGAGGTTTAAAGACAACCTGTGCTGCCTCTGCTCAGCAGGAATTCCAGTTACAGACCTTTTACTTTGGCTTATAGTCTTTAATCTTTACTCTTTCTTCCTACCCTGGCTTACTTTCTAGTTCTACCTCCTAACTATTCCAGGAGACTCTTTTTCATTTGAACTGACTCGTGTCAGTATGTTCTGTAATAAGTAAAATTTGGAATGTATGTAGAACTTCTGATTGTATGTCACCCAGCACCTCTGGGATAGCTTAATCAAATTAATTGCTGATGGTTTAGTTGGTACACCTACATGTTTTAGTTTTTTATAATGAAATAGTATTATTGGTAAGTCATCTATGTAACATCTCATTTTTTATATTACTCTTTGTAGCAATCTGCAGAGCGCTGTGTAAGCACATTGCTTGATCTAATCCAGACCAAAGTAAATTACGTGGTCCAAGAGGCAATTGTTGTCATCAGGGATATCTTCCGCAAATACCCCAACAAGTATGTCTAAATTATAACCTTTTTCTATAAGTAATTTAGGAAATATTTTAAGTAAGGTATTTTGAAAATGACTAGATCAGAATTATTCTTTTTTTTTTTTTTCATTTATTTATTGTGTGTGTGTGTGTGTGTGTGTGTGTGTGTGGCCAGCTCAGCCCACCAGGGGGCGGGGCTGGCTGGCATGTGGTGCTGGGGTATTGAACCGCGGTCCCTGTGCTTTGCCAAGCTTGTTCTAAGTAGGTGCTTTAGACCACTGAGCCATCTCTCCAGCCCAGAATTATTCTTTATAATACGTTTTATTAATAATCAGAGCTACATGAGGTGGTTAGCACATGAACTGAAACCTGATTTTCCACTGTATTACTTCTGAAAGAAATGAAGCCAACCCTGTCTGAATCTGCATGTCTTTTGGCATGGATAAAAGTTAAATTATTTGATGGCAAAGTTATCATTAAGTAGGAAACATATTTCAAATTGTCATAGAATGCTCTCAATTCATGTCTACCGTGTAGACATGATTAATGATTATATACTTTTTCCTCTCAGAAATGTCTCAGTATGAATGATAAATCATATGCCCATCCTACTGTGAAAGCCAGGAAGGTAATAGCTATTCTCTTCACTTTGCATGTGAGCTGCTACTTTGTGGAAATTTATACATGATACAACCATAAATTACGGTCTGAAGTCTTTTCTGAAGAGTTATAGTAGCTCCTATACAGATATGTGAAATCTACATTTTTACTTCATAGATTTTTCAGATTCAGTCTTATTAATTTATGAAGCAAAAATGCTTCCAGTTTGATTTACAGTTAAAAAATCTAAGTGAAATAAGAGCTGGTCCTGTGAGTATCCTAAATCTCATTCTGCATTACAATCATAGTGTTATCTTGAGCTGAAATTTCTTATTAGTCTTTAAAGACAGTGTTTTAAAAATAAAAAAAAAAAATAAAGACAGTGTTAAGTAGCTTGGCTTTCATGGCCCGCACTTACAACCCAACACTCTGGGAGGGTGAACTACGAGGATCACAAGTTTGAGTCCAGCCTAGAAAATTTAGCATCTTAGGGAGACCCTGTCTCAAAATAATAAGAAAAAGCTGAGAACGTACTTCAGTATTAAGATCCCCTGTTCAGTCATCAGTATTGGAGGGTGAGGGAATAGAAATAATTTGATAAAGAATCATTATCTATCTATATCTATATCTATATATAGATATAGATATATATAGATATACATATATATTAGAAATATATGGGCCGGGGAGATGGCTCAGTAGGATAAGCACTTGACTGGCAAATGCAAGGTTCTGAGTTCAATCCCCGGTTCCGCCAAAAAAAAAAAAAAAAAGACACACGGGCTTAAGAAATATATGTGAAATATATGTATTTTTTAAGGAGGACCATAAACTTGTGTCACCGTCCTAGAAAAGAGGAAGATCACGTTTTTGAACTTCTTGATTAAGGGTAGAAATGTGTATTTTAATGTAACTGATAGAGAATTGTGACTGATTTGGGTTAAGAAGGGGTTTTAATAGCACTCAAGAAGAGCCTGTCTTAATCAGTAGAAACAGTTCAGACCCTTAAGTATAGTATTCAGCTGTCCAATCCAATTTATTATACATTATTGTTACACTAGCCAAGGAGATAGATTCAGTGGGATAAAAGCATAAGGGGGGAGCCTAAAACTAAAAATAAGTATTTGAAGTATTTTTTCCTTGGACAAATGTCATTAGTGTTTGTTCCTTACAGAGAACATACAGATCTCTTATAAAAAAGAAAAATACAATAAGGGACAAAGTAACTGTCTCTAACTTGGGCACTGTTGTTTTCTAACTCCATTTTCCTAAACATTAAGTGAGATATCTGTGCCTTTCTACCCCAGAGGCAAAGTGGCACAATAGGAAAATGCTCTGAGCTAGTTGTCAGGAAGATTATTAAATACAAAATGTTGCTATTAACCTTATACCACAGTTTGATTTTTTTTCCCTTGTGAAAGGATAACCGATGAATTTTTATTAAAGGTTAATGTCATTATTAAAATACAATTGAGAAACTGAAGACCTTTGTATTCTTCTGACTTAAAGCACATACATTCTCTTGAGTAAAAGCCTGTGTAGCCCAGTGGTTTAGTTTAAGACCCCTTGAACATAGATGTACCTTTTGTCTTTACTGTTAAATGCAGTTCTTGGTTTTGTCTTCAGTAACCATGGTCCATCTTGTTTTCAGGTATGAAAGCATTATTGCCACCCTCTGTGAGAACTTGGACTCCCTGGATGAGCCAGATGCACGAGCAGCCATGATTTGGATTGTGGGAGAATATGCTGAAAGAATTGACAATGCAGATGAGTTATTAGAGAGCTTCTTGGAGGGTTTTCATGATGAAAGTACCCAAGTAAGTTCTCATCTTTCTGTGTCCTACATCTCTTTGGGAAGTTGCCAGAAAAAATAGAAGGCCATTTCTTTGTGCAAATATATTGTTTGCTCATTTTCTCCCAAAAGAGATTATTTTCTAGTGTAACAAGCTTGTATAATTTAGACCCATGGTTCTCAGACTTTAATAAGCATTAGAAACACCCAGAGGGCTGACTAAAGCATGTGTTGCTGGGCCTCACCTGAAGAAATGTGACTCAGTAGGTCTGAGATGAGCATTTCCTACAGTATTCTGGTGGAGGTGGCAGTTGCTGCTGCTGCTGCGGCTGCTGCTGCTTCTGATTCCAGTCCAGAACCACACTTTAATAGCCACTACTTTAGAGCAGTAATCTGTTTTTTGTTTTCTTAACTGGGATAGTTACGCATTTTTGTTAGTAATGGCTGTGGCCCACTACATGAGGAATTTTCATGTGGTGAGAAATGTAAGATATTTATATTCTTATGACCTAAAGCACATACATTCTGTTGAGTAACAGCCTATATAGCTCAGTGCTTTAATTTAGGACCCTTGGAACATGGTTTTGCCTTTAGTCTTTCACAGTTAAATGCTGTTTTAGTTTGTCTTCAAAAACCGTGATCCAACTTATGGTTGGACTGTGGTGAAGTTTGGAATGAATCTCTGATAAATAGAGTTCTTTCCATTTTTCTGTCCCTCTTCTTTACTAAAATTAGGGACATAGGCCCACAGAAACAAACAGCCCTTTCTTTCCCCTGGCATTTGTTCTTACAGCAAACAGAAATTCATGTCTGCTTTATCATAGTATTTTCCATAGGCTGAATACAGGATAACTGTACAAGATAATAGGTTGTGGTCCAGCAGGCTACTTTTCATTGGCTATAATCTGACATAACTGTACGGTCATCTTATTGCTCCAGTAATGATTTCATAATTGCTCCAAATGTGTAGCATTGCTTTGCTTTTTTTTTTTTTTTTTTGAACAGGGTCTCACTATGTAGTCCAGCTGGGCTAGTCTTGAGCTCACTATGTAGCCTAGGTTGTTCTTAAGGTCATAGTGATTCTCCTGCCTCAGCCTTTTCTATGCTGAGAGTACAGGTGTGTGCCACCACACCTGACCAAATTTGTAGCTTTTCATAGAGTAAAGACAAAAACTGGTCAGGATCCACTTTTATCAATATGTTAGCAGTTACTTTAAAAATTATAGGTGATAATCTGTCTTAGAAACAAGCTACTTTGATCCTAAAAATACAATTTGAGGTTAGGAAGCTAGTATGTTTTTACTTGAACGCCTTTGTATTTTAGAATGCCTTTGGCTGCTATTGTTAATATTGGCTGAGTTTGATCTTTTGTCTCTTAACCACAGTCAGAAAGACCCCATTGTAACGCATAGATGGAAGACAACACTTTGGAGATGATGCTAGAGAATAATCCACATGCCTTTCTTTCATTTTATCAAATTTGTCTGTTTAGGTCCAACTTACTCTGCTTACTGCCATAGTGAAGCTATTTCTCAAGAAACCTTCAGAAACGCAGGAGCTGGTCCAACAGGTCTTGAGTTTGGCAAC